CACCAAAAAATCAAAACAATCCCCCACCCATAGCCCCTACTCCAGACCGCGACGTCGACATGACTCCCTTGGCCGTTGCACCAGCTTGCATCGGTGGTGGCCACTCACTCTCCGGTCCCTCCGCCTTCATTTCCGTCGACAAGACTTTAGGTGAGTCGGTGACTGTTATTTTATTTTTTTGTTGATTTTTGTTGTTTTAAGTATTTTATACTTTAATAATTTGTGAGTCATAACTTATGAGTATTGAGTTTATGTCAATTGTGATATTAAAAATTACTTTGAGTATTGCGAACTGTGAATATTTGATTTGTGAAAATTGAAAATGAGAAATTGGGGAATTTATAATTTGTGATAAATTGGTGTTGGGAATTGAAAATTGAAACTTTAATCATATTTTAAAATTAATTTTAGTTACGTTTAATCTTTGACTAACGTTCAATTCTAATATAGAATATGGAATGATTTTTCCAACTTAAACGAAAGTCCAAACCTAGTTCTTGTAGTGGTGCATCTACCACTGCTTCTAGTCGAGCAAATAATTTGTTAAGCATTAATAACACAAAGAAGTCTCACATATCACGTATTTTATATTATTATTTCAGATTGCGTTGAACTATATTTTGATATAAATATATGATTATTACATTTTAGTGCATTTTAATATAGATTAAAGAATTTTTAATATTATTTAATTCAAACGACATTGCTATATGGCCGTTGACCGATCGCCCGAGTTGGGTCGAAGTTCTAGATCCATCCCTGCATGTGTTTAAATGATGATGATGTTGTATATTCAGATAGTCAGTATATCATATCTACACATCGGTAAATTTGAGTACAAGTCAGTTGAGTTCTCATTAGTTTTAATCAGGATGAGTATTTGCTGACTTGGGGTTTGTCTTATTTGCATGTAAGGGGAGAGGGACAAGGAAGCTAAGGTCTTCAAGCTCTCAGTACAAGGTTTCTCTGACATCAAGGTGAATGTTTGTTGGATCGTGTTGCCAAAAATACCTTGAAGGCGATGATGAGAAAAAAAAAAAAAGAGAGCCTCGCTTTCTCTCTATAAGGCGGTGTCCATCTTCTTTTCTGTACATTTTCTCTACGTGAGATTTTTAGCTTTCTTCCCTCTTTTTGACTAATATTATACTGAGAAACTTGTGGTTCCCATGTGATTCGGATTGTGTTAAAGTTGCCTACGCTAAAAGGACCTTGGGTCTGGTTTTAGGACTGCTACTTTGTGAGACGAGAGCATATAAATCCTAGCATTTTCTTTTCATTTTTAGGAGGAATAATATAGGATCCCACGAAATGTGCTATATTGGCAACACATCTTTAATAAGAGCATTATGTAGTAGGGACATCATTAAAAACAAAATAAGTTCAAATTTTGATGACCTTCCAATGCAAATCGTCAAAAATGAGAAATTTAATCCTTGTGTTTATGTTGTGTTGTACACTATGTATAAAACATATACTAGATGACCTCTATAATGTTGTCTTCCTTTGTACATGGTGCTCTTTATAAATGAACGAGCACAAAAGTTTTTTGAAACCAAAAAATTGCTAATTATGAAATAAGTCATCCCTAACATAAGATGACATTTCATCTGTCCCGATGTGGTAGCAAAAGAAGCAACAACTTGGATCACTTGCCATTGCTAGCCCCTAAGTGAATCGAACCACGTCTTAGTTTTCTATGAACAACTACAATACTAAAAAGTGATAATGTATTTAAGAGCAGAGTATTCATCAATTTCAAACCTTATAATAGTTGAAGAGCACCTTCAGCTTGTTCATTATGCATTCCCATTTAGGGGCTGTTTGGCATCGATTTTATTGGGCCAATT